AATCACTCAATAACTGTTAATAAGAAAAAGAAATTAGAATAAGAATAAGAAATTTTTCATACAGAAAAAGTTAAAAATAAAAACACTGGCGTTTAAATAGCTTGGTTGCCCCGACTCTCGTTTCATCTTTCTCTTTTATTTGTTGTCCTTACCTTTGTTCCGCAAACCACGAAGATGGGCTGCAAGCCTCAAAAATAGTCTCCCCTCTGTCCAAACTGTCCTGTTTAGGTTCCCAGCTGGTGGACATTGTGAGAAGCTTTAGGCCCGTTACACACTAGCGGTTCGCTCCCGGTCCGGTCACGGTCCAAACCCGCTTTGCTCTTGAAATATAAATTAGTTTACACATCTGTTTGGCTAAAAATCCGCTTTTTCGCGATTTTCAACAGGTTATCATTTGTTAATAACTTTGAAGCCAACAAAATGATAACATAAACTCATCATTATTTCACATAGATTGCAACATAAGGGTTCGTTTTTGCAAAATAAAAATTCATTTACAATTTTCATATTGAAAAGGAGTACGTACAACAAAATTAAAAATATTTTTAGAAAGTTCCATCTTTTGTGATGCGAATGAAAAATAAATGGACTACAACATATTACAGTTTCGTCAAAATCGGAATTGAAATGGAATAATCTGTGGTAGATCAAGAAACAGATTCACACTATGGATTTAGTCCCTGTCCGGTCCAGTTTCGTTCCAGCAAAATATTCTTTCCAAAAATAGTTGCTGCTACGAGACCGGACTGTGATCGAACCGTCACCGGAGGGTAAAGTGTGAATGAGTACGTTCTAAACCATAGAAGAATATTTGACCGGATCGAGAGCGGACCGCTAGTGTGTATCAGGCGTTACTGTAGTTCTAATTAAAAATTTTTCGACTTGTAGGTTGAAGGACCCCACTCTTTTAGGAGTTTTAGGGTTAGTAGAGCTAGACGTCTACTGTATTAATTTAGACTTGGACTTTATCACAGATGACTAATCCATATGAATTTTGAACCCATATTTATAGTTATACATATTTAAATTACATCCAATCAAATGAACATCGTAAACCATATACATACGTTTAATCAATTGTATTTCTTGTGTAGTTACGTCATTCATGAACTTTATTTATGTTCAGTGTTGACCAATAAAGCATTGTTAAATTTTTGCTAAGTAATCGCCTTCACAAAGTCTGAGAGCCAACAGGTATAATAATTAATAATTTTATGCTTAATAAGAAATTTCTTTAGACAAAATTGTGTTCGATCTCTCTCTCTCTCTCTCTCTCCCTCTCTCCCTCTGTCTCCCTCTGTCTCTCTCATGTATAATTACTTGTACACATTTTATTACTCAAATAAATAAATGTTTGGATACCTATAATACATATTATATTTCTATTTTCACAGGTTACAGGGTAGATTACTTACTAAATACCATAGAAAATGATTAATGAATGTGGATCAAATAATTAACCCTGCCAGAATTAAAAATTACTTTTGATGATGGTAATGCGAATTACTTAGCTGTTTGCATTATACAACAGTTTTAAGGTCTAGCAAAAAACGCTTACAAAATGATTCTAAATGAAGAAAATGTGTAAAAAGATAAAACGGCTTGTTTTGTTCAAAACTTTATCTGGAAAAGCAATTCTACATATAATGTGACAGATATAAGCGTTTGAATGTTCATAATTTTTTCTTAAGTTATTTGAAGTTTTTAAAGTTCTGTAAATGTAATATGAATATCAATTAAAATAATTTTCAAAAAAAAATGAAATGAAATTTTACAAAAACTCATTAAGTCTGCACTGAAATATAATCTAAAAAAATTTGAATTAAAACCTGGTCTAATGATAAGCCTGTATTCCTACACCGTTTCGTCCATTTGTACGCTAGGTGAGATTCCCTTCGCACGAGATAATTGGTAACAAACAGTCTCGGACTGTTCGCACGTAACTTTGTTTCGCTCAATTTACAGACTCAATCCAACCAGCAGCGAGGAACCGACGCTCGAGTAATTTTCGACTACAACGGGCTATCAAGATCCACGCAAACGATTCTCCTTCAGTTCTCGTTCACTGTTACCAACAGTTTTGACTTTTATACGTTTAAGAGAGTAGGAAGAATGGTCAAAAACCTGATGGTGAGAACGAGCAAACAGGAAGAGAGAAGACAAGGAACAAAGAAACTGAGAACATTCCATTCCGTGCAAAGAAAGAGGGGAAAAAAGGGAAAGTTGAAACACAAAGTGGTCGCGAAAAGTGTGAGGGATCGTTCAAACTTTTGCATCAGAAAATTCTTTCTAGATCCGCTGGAATATCTGTGATAAAGTTATAAACTTTTCGGAAGAACTTGCCACCAATGCCACCTAAATAACGGCTTACTTTTCTTTCTACACGACATCTAACCACCTAACTAAATTTTCTGTTACTTACTGAGACAGACGTTACTGTTTAAGCAATTAGTTTCCTCCCGCAGTAAAAGGGAGAAGAAATCAGTAACCTTATCGAAATGTACTAATGAGATAGAAAGTTTCTAACACATTTGTAACAACAACAGAGTAAAAGTTACACCATAATTGTTATCAATTTTTAACCATAAAAGGTGTTAGTGCTCGTGGTTGTGGCGATAAACTTTCGAGCTTTGTGGATGTTTGCACGATGCTGTGCCGTCTAGATCCTGGTTCGAAGGACCACCCAAATGATTGGGACTTGTAAAAAACTGATCTATGTCTAACGCGTGATGTGAGCTGGTTCCACCTTGCTTCTCCGTGTTCGTGGTGGTTGAACGACTGTTACACGACTCCTCGTCCACGTCGCGTCTCCGACGTCCGTGAGAGGGATTTTTGTTGGGACATGCTGATTGGTTAATGGTTGACGATTGCATTTGCCAATCAGCGTGTCTAATATCGTCTTTGCCGCCCTTCCAGTGCGCCCTTAGCGCGCTATCACCTTGGAAGGGTGGGAGACGGTCGCGAGGGGTGGGCGGAAGGTCCCAAAAATCTGGAATTTCCTCCGGGTGACTAATCGGCAAGCGGACCGTTACATACAGATGTGCCGTTCGGAAATTCGTGGTTTATGGTATGTTCGTAGGCTATTGAGCGCGAGGGACACAAATTACTAAAAATCTAGCAAAGCAATTCTAGCGACCCTCGCAGATGTAATTAGACCCGTGCAAGCAATAAACGAAAATCCTGAACTCAAAAATAACCGTTCCCGGTCGATCGTGCCATAAACCGTTTCTACAGAAAACCTAACAAAAGGTTTATATCTTTCTCCCTTAATTTTGTGTTTCATACTGTTGCATTTATTTGTTTGTTTCTTAAGAAACTTAATTTGATCTGATTTCAATCCAATATGGATATGTAAGTTAGCGTCTAAAGAATTGCATGCTTTGTCAGAATGTTACCTCATTATGAAATACTATTATCTTAACTTTGAGAATTTTTAAATACGAATATTGCATTATACGATTCACAATACGATTGCAATTTTCAGTTAAGTGAGTAAAGGACAAAACAAATGAAATCAAATGAATACATTTCAAACTCGTTACAATATGGAAGAATATTGTGATAAATACATTGAACAATTTATAATCTGAAAAGCACGAAATTTCATTAAGCACCTAACTATAAAACTTTAATTTCCAATATTGCATATTAATACTTGGATATGTTTTATGTATTCTATCATCGATTATGAAAATTCTAATAAATAATTTTCTTTTGAAACGTTACAAGATAGCTGCGTACTTTCTTTTACGTGCATTGAAATTCAGTTGACGTATCTTAATTTATATTTGAAACATCTGTTCGAGCCACATGCAACGGACCATATAAAAATTTTTCATTTATTTACAACTTTGATTGATTTTGCGCGATTATAGTCAATGAATTCACCGGAACGTGGACACCATTTACGTATATTGAAAAACATAATCTCATTTAATAAATAAATTTTGAAATCTCTTTCAAATATTCATGTACGAAAAAGCAATTTAAGCAGAGAAATACACTACTCCCTAAACACATTATCTCTGTTTAAAACCATTTTCTAACATCACTAATATTTTTGAAAGTGTTCAAATGTCACATTTTATATTCCTTACTCTGTATAGTATTTTATAAATGAGTATTCATTAACGAATATTTTATTATTCGATATACTTAAAAATTTCTATATGTATAATATAAAGTTAATGTGCTATGTAAATTTAGTATCATTTTGTACAAGGACAAAATTTAAAACAAATAATTAATAAGTTTGCCACGCTATTACTCTGTTGATCTGAATATGATAGATATACAGGGTGGTTGGTAACTGGTGGTACAAGAGAAAAGGGGGTGATTCTACATGAAAGAATAAATCGAAAATATAGAATAAACATTTTTCGTTTGAGGCTTTGTTTTCGAGAAAATCGACTTTGAATTTTCTTCGAGTACGCATGCACCCTACTATGTCGTGGATGAACGTATCTCGATATAGACCATATGTCGTAGGTTTATGAGTAATAATAAAGCATGTAATTATCAAGATTTACTTTATTAATGCAAAAATTGTTGAAAATACTGGCCACCGTACACCGAACGTCGAGATCCTATTGGATCTCACAACCTTAATGATTTGCAAAACAAAGCATGTAATATAAAAAAGAAGTTATATTTCAATACTGTCTTACATAAAAAAAAAAAAATGAGTTTCATTTCAGTTTTTTACATAAATAGTAACGATTGTTTCTAGAAAAAATACAAAATGTATTCAAAAAGTTCGAGAACTTCTGTTATAAAGTGCATTAGAAGCAACGTAAAAAAATGTAAATTGCAGCATATGATCTTCGATTGTTTTGCTACATGCCTGCCAAGTTTCGTAGCGGTCGGTTGTGTAGTTGTCTAGTAATTGTTGGTTAGCGTAAATTGTGATATTTGGCATCAGCGATTCTTAAAGATGAGTGATTTCCGCGAGCAAAGAACGTGCGTAAAGTATCTGAAAAAAAGCATCTGAAACAGTAGAGATGCTTCAAATTGCTTTCGGTGATACTTATATGAGTCATTCGAAGATTTATGAGTGGTATAGCAGATTTAAGAATGGTCGAACTTCCGTTGAAGATGATCCAAGAGCAGGAAGGCCTTCAACCTCCACTACCAAGGAGAAGAAGGAAGAAATCGAAGCCCTTCTCCAAGAAAACCATCGTTCCACAATCAGAAAATTATCAGAAGAAGTAGGCATATCAATAGGTTCGTATCAGACAATTGTCGAGAGATTGACGGCCTGGTGTGTGAGCCTTCGAGTAAAGCTCATAAAATAATTTGTTGGCCACGACGCGACGTCCCCTCGGCAAAATATTCTATTTTTCACGGCTGAACAGCTTCGTTTACAAGTTTTATTTGAATAAATCTATTTAAAAGTTAAATTTCACCCAGAAAGCTGTAAAATAATTTACTTAAAACTTCGGAGTAGTGAAAATAATATTCCATGTTAAAAAACATATTACTGCAGTTGTTATTGAACATAAATGTTAATAAAGCTGTTATTGAAAATGTTATTGAACCTAACTTTTTCAAATAAAGCAGGAGGACAATTCTATAGAATTAACTAATAGTTCTAGGGATAAAATTAATTCAAATACAGGGTGTTTCGGTACGGATAGTACAACTGGTCATGGGTGGATTCGTTATGGAAAAATGAATCGAAAAAATAGGATAACGATTTTTTGTTTGCGGCTTCGTTTTCAAGAAAATTAAGTTTGAAAATTCTTCGCGTACGCGTGTACCTACTTAATTGCCGCGCTTTCGACTTAACAGTTCGCACTATACGTTAGTATTTTGACAATATTATGAAGGGTACTGAGTAATACTACATTTTAGCGGAATTAAAACTTCCATTATTGGAGAAATTACTGAAATTGTCATCCTTCTTGCCGTAAACAAATTGTTGCTCGTCAAATCGCGGAAGCATGAACTGAGGTCAATGAATTTTAAGCCCGTACTTGCTCAAATGCCTGTATAATTCTCTCTTTTTCAAATTTAATTTTCTCAAAAACGAAGCCGTAAACAAAAAATCGTTAAGGTACGTTTACGTTTAAAAGTAAAACTATCGCGAGTTACTCTCGAGAGTATACATACTATGACTATTGGAGAGCTACCTTCGCAATTCGAAACAGTTTCGTATTCTGACAGTAGCTATCGCGAGAGTTGGTTGCAAGCTCGATATCCTGAAAGAAATAGTCGAAGGGCCAAACGTTGGATCTAATTGCTTTATATGAGCAATATCAAATGTTGTAGGATACGCGACATATCGATTACAGAAATCGCGAAAAAAAATATTTAATGAAATTGGGACGAGGTTTAAATGCTTCCGCGTAAGTGATGAACATGCCTCATGCAGGGTGTCCCGTATCTGGTGGTACAAACGAGCAGGGGGTGATTCTACGTGAAAAAGCTGAATCGAAAATGTAGAATAAAATTTTTTTACACGAGGCTCTGTTTCTGAGAAAATTGAATTTAAATATTCGTTACAAACTATTTGCTAGGTTTTCTGTAGAATCGGTTTATGTCACGATCGACCGGGAACGGTTATTTTTGAGTTCAGGATTTTCGTTTATTGCTTGCACGGGTCTCATTACCTCCTCCGAGGGTCACTAGAATTGCTTTGCTAGATTTTTAGTAATTTGTGTCCCTCGCATAACGGTCCGCTTGCCGATGAGTCACCCGGAGGAAATTCCAGATTTTTTGGACTTTCCGCCCACCCCTCGCAACCGTTTCCCACCCTTCCAAGGTGACAGCGCGCTAAGGACGCACTGGAAAGGCGGTAAAGACGATATTAGACACGCTGATTGGCAAATGCAATTGTTAACCATTAACCAATTAGCGTGTCCTAACAAAAATCCTTCTCACGGACGTCCGAAACGCGACGTCGGAGAGTGAATCGTTCAGTAGTCGTTCAACCACCAGGAACAAGAAGAACCAAGGAGCAGCTAGCTCATATTTGTTATAACATTACGCGATAGAAATAAACCAATTTACAAGTCCCAATCACATTGGATGGTCCTTTGAACCAGTATATTAGACGGCACAACATCGTGCAAATACTACAAAGTTCGAAAGTTCATTGTAACAATCACGGGCATTAGCACTGTTACTTCTGCTCATACTTTTACGTTGATAAACAGTGGCAATGTCACATTTCGCGAAGAAACAGTCTACGCAGAGAATAGTGTAAATCTGCAGCTAAAAGAAAGAATGGTACAGACTTTCACAGAATTGAAGTGTCAAAATATCGTATCGTCAGTCCATAACTCTCCGATTTAAAGAGCAAAGATTTGTATGCGTTAACAGACGTTACTTTCAACAGTTCGATTAGCAATGTAAATTTAAATTAAGGAAATCGTTAATAAATGTATTATCAATACTTTTCATGAAATTAGTATCGTTTATTAGTACAAACGTAAAGCCGAAAGCACGCGTACTCGACAAATTTTCAAACTTATTTTTCTCGAAAACAAAACATGTGTATCCGTATACAGTGAATCCATATTTTGATTTCTTTCTTTTTTTTTAAATATTGTAAACAATAATTAAAACTCTATGATTTTGCACATCCATAACCACTGTCTCTCTTCCTTCATAGCTTAAAAGAAAGTGAGAGAAACTTCAGAGGGTAGACACAGACCAATTTCCAGAGGACGCGGTTCTGAGAGTTCTATCGGTGAGCTCTCGATGAGTTTTTTATCGCCTATCTGAGAGTAAAAATTTAGAATCGAAATTCTCGAAAGCAACTATCGAAAGAAGCTCTCAAATGGACAGGTATATACTTTTAGGTATTCTACATTTTCGTTTTAGTTTTTCGTAAAGAATCCACCTGTGTCCGGTTATACTACCCATACCGAAACTCTCTGTATATTTAAATCAACCGGAAGTAACAACTTACTTTAATATTTCTTTAGGTATTGAGTTTCGAAAGTAAGCTTATACGACATTTTTCTGATTGGAATTACACCTCATATCAAATGGTAACGATTCTTTTAGTTGTTATGTTCTGTTATATGTATGTATGTATATGGATTAATAAGAATTACCACCTTTAATATCTCCGGAACCATGAAAGTAAAAAAAAATTTTTTCCAATAAAAATTGTTTGGTACGAAAGAGGCCATCATATGGTTATAATGATTGTTTTGTAGGTAGAGTAGTTGAAGAGATATAAGTCACCCCTCATTTTTTTACGGCATGTCATAGTTTTTTATTTATTTGTTAATAATAGCCCCTAAGAAAAACACAAAAACCTATAACACAAGCACGCAATAATAAACATGTGTGCCTAAATAAATTCTTACGTCATTAAAAGGGCAATTGGATCAACAGCAACAACGTAATCTACCTTCTATGATCTTGAACGATACCGTGAGCGCCGCGTTCCGACTGATGAATGAATTAATGATGATGAATTAATATTCGGTAATTAGTTTAAACACGGTAGAGTAAATAGTATCGATAGCTGAATACCTTCGTCGTCCGGAACGATGAACACTTGATTTTAGTATAATATTGTCTCGACAATTAGACGCTTTAGAAAATATAAGAATGCTTGTGGACATCTGAGGACGTTTGACTCGAGTATTTGATTCTGTTAAAGGTTGTCGAACGACTGACTTCTTGATAGTCAGTTTGTTTGTTGCTCATACATTGCTCATATATACATATATAACCTTTCTAAGAAACGTGATATGTATTCTTGAAAGATATTACAACTCGCTCGATTACTGTCATTGTGGGATTATTCGAAGGACGCAAATCACTCAAGAAATGCCAATTCTCCCCCAAATAGATCATAATGTTATTCCTGTAAGTAACAATTGAAATAATACCCAGCTAGAACTTCCACCGTAAGTTAGATTTTAGAAAAGTGTTGCGCCCCGTACACCGCAATTCGCTCGGAAAATTTCGGGGAGTCGTAAATCCCGCTTACACTTGTTTGCGACTATCTATCAAGACGCTGGCAATTGTAAAAGTAATCACTCAAGCTCCCCTGATAAGTAGTGACGATATATCATGAAATTTGTTACTGTGGATCTTCCTGAAACGAAACCATGCTGCTCCGTTATAATGTACATCTTGACCAGTGGAAAAATTTGTCTACGATTAAACTTTCAGAAATTTAGGCTATGGCGTTGAGCACACAAATTGATCTGTAGTACAAATTTACAAATCTGTTTGTATACAAATTTCCTTCCGTATTTGTAGAAGTTAAATTATAAAAACATAATCAAAACATCTACATATTTGTTGCAAGTGCCCGTTGTGTACCACCACTGTGTATCTATATCAAAATAAAGGATACGACCTGACATCGC